GTAGCGGCCGTGGGTAGACCATCTGTCAGGATCTATCCACCGCCGGCCTGAGCGAACCATAGGCTCTCCCGCCTATACACTTATACTCACATTCGCTGTCATGCCAAATATGTATTTTTTCTACATTTTTGTTCACACTATGTTGGATTGCAATGTTCATGCCTGTAAAGGTGTCTCGCATTGTGAAGAATAAAAGTTTATTTATTTGAATGGAATTTCTCTTCTTAAGTGGATTTGCTTTATCTTCACTTTGGTCCCGACACGGCTTGCAATCGGGGAGGGGCATCAATTAGGAGTCTTGTTGTCTCCCATGGCAATATTTTGCAGGAAGATGATAATCGACCACTTCCTAACCTCCGAAGAGGATGGACTACGATACTGGCAGGGCGCCCACACCTGACAAGAGAGCGACTCGGGTCCTCAGCCAAAACCTTCGATTAAATGAACACCCGAAAGGCAGCGGGTCAAGCATATGGTCAGTTCACTGACTCATGCGGATTGGTGTCCTGGATATTAGCAGGGAGAAGGGCGAAACCCAAATCCCACCCAGCGGTCGTCACGAGGAGGCGCCCAGGACATGAGCCAATGGCACAACAGTAGCAGCAGTAGTTAGACCATCTGTCAAGATCTAGCCACCACCAGTCTCAGCGCACCATAGGCCCTCCTGCACAATTATCTGCCTTGTGCAAAGTTTAATCGTGGCTTCTACTTTCTACAAACATCACACTACTCACAAAACCACCAATAATCTAAATTTACCATTGCAGTTTGGACATCTGGAGGACAGGTACTTCGGTTCATTGGGAAGTGACGAGTGAGCGAGCCAATCTGCAACACCAGGACAGATACTGGGAGCTTATTGGCAATACGTCGCGAACTAAGCAGAAACCATGCAATAAAAATTGTGCACCTGCTCGTCAATCCTCGGTAGCTCAGTTGGTAGAGCAGCGAATCGGTAATCCGTATGTCCGGGGTTCGTATCCCCATCGAGGCAAATTATTGTGCAAAGTTTAATCGTGGCTTCTACTTTCTACAAAATTACTCTACTCACAAAACCACCAATAATCTAAAGACAGAGTTGTTCCTCAGGCTTCACAGCAGATCTGGGCTCGTTATGCGCGTGGCTGAGGAATGTGGTGGTCCACTGTTGTCAAGCAGAAGAAGACTTGCGAAGGAAGGTGGATGAAAGAAGAGGGAGGAATGATGGCGATAGGAGCATGCGCGCAGTTGGAACTCATCGATTGGCCACCGTCAAGATAAAGGTTCAGCTCGACGGCTACTATAGCCTAAGGTGAGCTATGGTCTGGAGAAAAAATGCAGAACAGAAGGTCCCCTTGTCATTAGTGGATTTGTCTCATCCAGAGCTTGCTGCAGGAAGTTCGTGTTAATCTGAAGGCATTGCATCGGAATTATCGGTGCAGTTCACAGATGTAAGAGAAACTACCGCCCGATGGTTCGATTACGAGATATCACCATGCAGGCAAGGTGGTACTAGTGGGAGAAACCGGTTGAGCTCAATCATGCGGACAATATCGTCCTGTGCTTCGCGGGAAAACACAGGCAACCCGGAATAAACTTAATAGTGGCGTCATCTTTTGGTAGGCTTTCGGTGGGAAAGGAACAATTGACAAATTACCAACCACTTGATAGCCGCTCCTCTCTTACCGACGAGTAGCTGAATATAGTTGATTAATTTAACTACCTTGGTATGTATATTAGCAACGATGGAGGCTTGATTACTGAAATTAGCTCATGCATTACGAAGAAGAAGAATGCATCAACAGTACGCCGGTAAGCAGTACCGACGCTACGCTGTCGCGCAACCACCACCGATTGCACGTGGGCTAAGGAAACTAGGAGAGTCGCCCTGTACCAACGCGGACTAGAACCCGCGCCGTCAGATTGCAAAAAAAGCTCGTTACCTCTAAGCTACGGACCGGCGACGTATTACGAAAAATAAGGCAGGCACTTGGGACTCGGAAAGGGATTTCCATTGGTCTGAGAAGCAGTGGAAACAGGACCACACTGAGGATCTGTATCGTCTTAAGAGAAGAGGACACTTCAATTCTGCCTTCTCGCTGAGGACCGCTGGTGTCAGATAGCACCATCGCGTCCGCAATTATATATTCGGGAGGGTACTAAGAAATGATAACTTGGTTAGTTTTCCAGTGCAATTAATGATACTGGACAGGTATGTTCGCTTGTTTACACATGCCAGGCAGGATAGCCACCTAAAAAGACCACATTTTGTTCGCAGGATGTAGGATGGCGCAAGGTTCGAGGTGGGCAAGTTAACTAAGTAAAAGGAAACTAGATGCTACTGGTCCATTTAGCCGTACAGGCTGGAGTCCGCGCGAATCCTGCTGTGACTGACTAAAGATTTGCAGGATACTTCTCGCAGCCGACCCCAGTGGAGCGCTTACCATCGCTCACCAATCGAACCGATTGTTTAAAGTAAGTCAGATAGTAATACTGACAATACGTACATTTCCCATGATGCGTGAAACTGTCTGTAGCGGGAAATTTGCACAAAAGCATCCATGCTTTTGCATGGACGATATGAAGAAACATGGGTGTTTCGATATTTTTGGACCCTTCTCAGAATAACTCAATGAGGGATCTTTCCCATGTGAAGTTAGTGGTTATGGCATTTAGATCAAGATAACTGTAAAGCTTGCTCCCAAATGTTGCCACATTGTCACATGACCCGAGGGTGACCGGTAGTTTATCCCACAGAAATCTATATCTGAACAGGAAGAAATTAGAGCGCATGTTCGTTCTAACTTTGGTAGAATCTTAGTTGCCAAGCTCTCGAATTGATCGAGATTGTAGTTCGGGCGCAGGCAGATCGGAATAGATCTTTTCGTGCAATAGGCCGTAAGGCGGAAACAAGTCATGCTGAGTTATTACTAATGGGGTAAGGCTGATTATGACGCGTTGTGAAGAAAGTCACACACAGGCAGTCTTACGTGTTTGTGACGGTGTTGTCCATGTGATGTAGGAAACGTGCCCTTGTTTGATTACTTAAAAGGCTGCACGCCAGGTTCCCAACCCCAGCACATCAATCCGCATCATTGTTGCGTGGAAAGGTAATATCCGTCCAAATCATTAACTTACTGCTTTCGATGAGGATGACGATGATGCCCCCTGTGTATATCATTACAAGTGCGGTGTATCAAACTGCTACAGCTCTTTAGCCCATCTAAAATTCATGAGCAAAAAGCTTGTGTATATCAGGATCGCCTTTGATAAAGGAGCCCATGGGTGGATAAGGAACAAGGAGTACGCAGATGGTATATCTTTTTGGGATGGGACCAAGCACCTCGATAGACAATGCTGAACAGCGACACAGATCACCACGTGCTTTACAAGTTGCTTCGAACCCCAATGGAAAATACCAATTTGCGCGTCAGCAAGACATGTGTCGTCGTTCGAACCCTAAGCTAGCTCCAGAATAAGCGAGACAAGAGCTCATTCGCCAAGGACAAGACATGAAACGATGGAGGGCAACTGGTCTACAGATGTTTCATCAAAAGAATGGGCTAGATAATGGGTGTAAACATAATTGAAGTTGTGTTGACGAAGCGCTTGCAAACAAACAAGCCATTTCGGAAAGTAACACATTATCTAAGGCTACGAATGTGTATGGCTGAGTTAGCAACAGATTTCCGGCGCGTACGTACTTGTAGTGACTCATGCTTGTCGGCTGATCACGAGGATTGCACGTGATTGCCTAACTGTATAGTGTACCAGTAAATCCGACATCTAGGCCACCATGACAATCCGTGCTATATTAGCTGAGGATTACGTGTACCTGTGAGCGCCTAGAGTGAGTACATGCGAGTGCGTTTGGCCACCTCTGACTACGGTGTGCAACTACCGCGTGTAATCCCAGCGCTCAACCGAATTCTATCTCCTGTAATTCTATTACTCTTGATTCTGCTCCCTATTCGTTGACTTTTCCCTTTCGCAGATGTTTGTTACCTGCATTGCGTTAGTTCGATACAGTAAGAATATTACTATTGGTCACGATCATCATACTGAGAAGAGCTGTGTTAGTGACGCATTGGTGTTTACAAAATATCACTCACATGCGATGAGGGTGCGTGTGTTGTAGTTGTCCGCTAGTCACGGTTCACCAAAATTCGCCCTAAGGTCGCACTGGATCAGCTGTGCGCCAGCTAGAGCACGGTTTTGAGACAACCACTAGCTGTTTGCTCTGATACACGTCCCCTACAATCTCGCAGACAATGGGGTGAGTTGGTGGTTAGGAAATACTGTGACGAAAATCTGTGATGGAATAGACCGAAAAAGTTGGTCGTGTTGGTGATGATTACGAAATCGGTTACATCTCAGTGGTTGGAGATACGGTCCAACGTATGGGGAAGAAGAGTTCAAAGGTACTATGGAATTCGGTCTTCGTTTCCGGTCGATTGGTTAAGATGTTTTATGGCCCACCAAGTAGGGAATTTTTATTCATGTAGTTGTGGTTGTTGTTTGATCATTTCCTACGTAGACCACCATGGCAGCTGGATTCGATGTTTGGATGGCAGTTATCACCTAGGTCTAACTCGCAAAGTAGTGGGGGAGAGGTTCATTTCGACAGTGATAGCAGACTTGCAGGGACACACCTGAAGTAGGACGCTCATGGTCTCAATGGGTATAGGATAATGATCGAATGATCGTCAAATACACGCAAAGTAGTTGGTACGTCTTTTACTCAGAATCTCTAAGCCACGAGACGAAAATGGATGAGCATGGTTACTGTCGCTCAGAGAAATACCGAGACATCCTTAAAGGCGGACTAGCAGGAACCGAAACAGATTCGGAGTTGAAAGGAGGATTAGAAAATTGTGAAATAAACAGCACAACGGCCGAATGTTGTTACCAACTACTACAACAATGCGAACATGCCAACAGCTTAGGCAACAAAAATCGTCTGGCACCAAGTAATAATTCGAGTAAGGATGAAAAAAGAATGGGCTTCTCAGTGAACTCACTTTCCATGCAAATGGACGCGCATAACATGCTTTGCTAGAGTAGTATCGCGGAGGGCGTCGTGTTCGTCCTTGATAATGAAAATCATATCGAACCGGGAGAGAATCGTCGGCATAAAATCAATGTTCTCTTCTCCCTTGGTGTCATCCCATCGGCCGTACACGCTGTTAGCAGCAGCAAGAACGGAACACCGACTGTTGAGCGTCGTTGTTATCCCAGCCTAGAAGACAACGACACGAGCAATGAGAAACGCATAAGGCATGGAGGAAATACAGTCATCATAGTCTGAGAAGTACGTACTTTAGCGATTGAAATCGTCTGCTGCTCCATTGCCTCGTGGATTGCAACACGATCGTCCTCACGCATCTTGTCGAACTCATCGATGCAAACTACCCCGCCATCAGCCAGAACCATAGCGCCTCCCTCCATGATGAAGTTACGCTAATTGATACGAGAAAGGGCAATTATTCGGGAGAAACAAGGAAAATGGGTCACGTGCTGGTAAAAGCACGATAGTAGTACATCATGATGACACAGATAGATCAACGTATGTATGTAATCTCAACAGGCTAGCAACTAGACAGAGAGCCAACAAAACCATGGAGATTAGCAGATAAAGGGAAGTCATAGCTACTATACCGCAGAAAGAAAGGAACATTTTGACAAAAACATGTTTCGTTTGTTTTTCACACGTGGATTTTTCGCTCTTTTTGTCACTTTCAATGTTTGAAGTATTAAACATGTTAAACAATGAAATTTTGTTTACAATTCTTCCACTGATTTCGGCTGCGAGCTATATCTTCAAGAGTGTTAAGCCATTGGCACTCCTCATCGTTGGGTCCCCATCTTGGAAGACGTACGGGCCCAACAACGGCTAGACACGACATCAGCGATTTCGTGTGCTGTCGCCAAGTGGAAGGCTGACCACCACGCGGTCGGCTCCAGCCAGGTTCTTGACAAGCAAATAGAGCGCGACGCGGTAGACACTCAGGTGCCATGAATAGGACGTGACCGAGCCATCTCAACTGGCACAGAAAAACCGGTTTGTTGAAGGGAATACTCGCATTCCCCAAGATGCGACGTCGAACATCATTATTGTTAACTCGATGTTGACACCAAACAAGAGCAATCCTCCTTAAGCAACCGTTATCGAAAGAAGAAAAACGACGCATGTCTTCCTCGAGAATCGGAAAGGACTCGCTCTCACACAAAAACACCGAACGAACAGATGCGCTGTAAACGCCATCCTTTAGCGAGAATGAGACGTCGCGACGACGTCACAAGTGTCTTAGATTGGCAAATGCTGATCGGGCTTTAGGGATGCGAGGAGAAACTTCTTTGCTGATAGTGCCGTCAACAGAAAAACAGCTCCCAAGGTAGACGAAATATCTCCCTGTTCAAGTTGTGCACCTTGGAGAGTGAGCACGAGAGCAGATGTAAGCCAACCTTGGAGCAGCACTTTACAAAGCGATTAATACAGGAAGAGGGGATGCACCCTATGATGCAACAACCATGTCTCCACTCGCTATGCTGCACAAATTGATCTTAAATTGTATATAAGTCTGCCACTTTTGTTCTGATCGGAGAGCAGGCGAAAACGTGAACAGTGCACACTGAGGACCGTTAGCAACAGTGGTGGTCGACCAGGAATTCCCGAGTCAGCAACCGCGAATCACAGGCTGTCAAGCCAGGATTCCATCTCGCGTTTCGAAACCGACCAAGGTGCATTAAGAGTAGCAGAAATACTACGCATGCAGAGTGAGTGGATCAGAATGAAGTGAGACATGATTTGCGGTCCCATACTAATCAACAAGCCACTTGGGTTGGACAGTGAGCACAATGACCAGCGACGAGCAATTCGTTTTGGCACAACAGCCGAAACTGAGGGGATGATAGTGGTGGGTATCACATAACCCACGTTTCCGGTCACATCCCATGTCAGTTACAAAACGAAACCAATGAAACGAGAGGAAGCCAGAAAAGTGCGGTGAAAAATCGGGTAAAGTCCTGACTATATGTGTAGACAATGTTTCATTTGGAGTTAGGGCATATGAACACAATCATTAAATGCAACAAAGCAAGGGTTGGACCTCAGTTCCCCAGTGATACCCGCAAAGTGATGGAAAGAAGACGACAGTGCGATAAGCAATACAAACTCAGGTTCAGTGTTAGTGACTGAAAAGAAAACGGGTGTTACACTCCCAATCGGGTTGCTTAATGCACACTAGTACTAAAGTGATGCAAGACGAGACGGAAGAGCAACAGGGTTGCAATGGCTGCATTGGAAGTAAAAGTGATACACCCCGTCACAGGCCGCATTAAGAGGAAAAAAGGAACACAGGGCCACTTTGATAAATTAAGTATAAAAAAGCAACACCACGTCATGGTGGACATAATACGTTGGAGTAAAAACATAGTGCAAGGCGCGGAATCAGACACCACTGTTTCTGCACATACATGGCCCAAAGGTCATGTTTAGCGATTGTAAAAACTCACGGTGGATGGGTCGCGGCTGATGGACGCGGTAAGACCAGCGGCAGAGCTACCCTTGCCCGAAGTGTAAATACCCACCGGAGCACAACGTTCGACGAACTTCAGAAGCTGCGATTTCGCTGTACCAGGATCACCGAGCATCAACATGTTGATATCCCCACGACGACAAAGCCCATCTGGAAGGCTGAGAAAGAACACGGACCACCACAAAACTGAGATAAACTATTTAGTGATATAGGCTGGAGTGGATATTATAGCGAAAATCACAACAGAAACAACTGCTGTGTAACAATTACACAGGACACTTAAAAAATTATAGGGTAATGACAGATTAGATATCCGCGATAGTGTAAAGGAAGGCCGACCACAAACACTTGCTACTCGCAAGAATTCGAGAAAAAGAGTACGAAGCCCCGAACGACTGTGACACAGACTACCTGATGAGAGTGTGTGATAACTAACCATTGAAACACAACTGAGGAAGGTCTAGTTTCGCCGAAACCAAGAACCAGAGCAGTAGTGGTGTTGGTCAGCGTGTCTCTGTAACGTAAATTCCGTAATAGCTAAGTAACGAACACACGTGTTTACGCATAAACGAGGCAATGCGCAAAATGTCGGATCTGTCGGCTGCTCTGATCTGGAATACAGTAAATAGGATACGAAAGTCAAAAACCATTAAGCCAAACCGTTCACGTGGCGCAGGGAACTTTTGTATGTGGACTAGGTTGTCCTATATTACAATAGTTCAACAGACAGAAAAGCGACATTTCTCCAGGCAGAAGACACATATAACAGGGAATGATACAGCAGCCAGAAGCATTCAAGAACCAATACGGGTGGTAGTAATTCGGTGCTCTAATAATTGAAGGCTGGTAAAATAAATTGCGAGGGAGGCAAGCACAGACGACTCAAGCCACGAAGTTGTCAGCGCCTTGTATAGCCGGAGTTCGATAGCGGCGCCGTCAGATGAGTGTAAGCGAATGCAATCAAGATTTCGACAAGTTTGGGTTCCTTCATGAGGGCCAAATGTCCTTCGTTAGTCAACTAGGAGAGAGGACCCAAGTAGCCAAGAAAATACTAACAGAAAAGAATATTTAGCGGCAGACGAGAAAAGATTCAAGAAGAGACGAAGGCAAGTTCGAGGAATAATTATTGTATGGAACTATGCGAAAGATATTGGATGTTTTCCTTCTTATGTACAGAAGGACACCTAACTCCCCATTGTCGAATCAGCTGTCACGCGCAGAAGCGCAAATAGGACGAAAACTTTCCAGTATGAACATATTATTGTATCCGAAGTGTGATACCCAGCGAGAGAAAAATGCGAGGACGAAAACTTATACAGAGCGAAATGAAACTAAGTACGTCGATTCGAGTCTGGACAGTGTTTTGGTCGGACTATCGCACGGAAGACCACAGTAGACAATAGGCTTGATGGAAAGAAGGTTTGGAACACTCTACAATGCTTGAGTGAGCGTTATGGTCTGTTAACAGCGGTGCATTTTGCGCTGCATAAATAAATGTTTTGGCGAAGCCTTTGAGTTATGAGCTGGGAAGTGGATGGTCCGTGACCCGGGTAGGTGTATCGATTATCTGAGCGTCAGCGGGAACACAAGGTACATGAAGAAAGTATTGACAACAACACCATGCACTGTAGCTGAGGGTCGCCCAACACTGATACGATCACGTTACTTGGCTAAAACTAGCAATCGCCCCAAACAAATCACCAGGCAGTCAACTACATAGAGGAGTGGCAAACGAAACACGAAGACGAAACTAGCAAGTATAAGCCGCTTAAGTACAATGAACAGTTCGATGCAACACCGAATAGGCAATCTTCTGAATGCACCAATAGTCAAGACGACCAGGCGCTTAGTCGCCTCAATCCTTGGTGGCCAGAATCTCGATCCATGCAGTAACGTCAGATACGCCCTACACCCAGCAGGTAAGCTAATATTAAGCAGCTGAAGCTTTGAAATGCCACAAGAGGTCCCACCAATCAGGTCAATAATTTCATCAGTGATGAAACCACTAGGGGTGATAAAACTACACATACGTGAACTTATCCATCACTCGCAGCAGGTGCTCAAGTGGACGAAGAACAAACGGTACATAGGTCTAGTATTGTAGTGCATGAGCTGGATCCAACCCCGAAGGTGAAATATCCTATGCACACCTCAAGCTTATCGGCCGGTGACTCTCCAGCATCTCCATTCTAAGAAAGGCTGGGAGGACAGAGCCAATCATGAACTCTTTGAACACAAAGGAAGTATGGCAATTATGTCACACTTCACTTTCGGCGTGAGATTGCCGTAAATCGATACATGGTCCAGTAAGTCGTGCTTCAAGAGAAGACAACAAGATCATGGTAATTTATCTGCATCTATGGTGCTATATCCGCAGCCCGCGTAGAGTAGGGACATAGGTGTTTCGTCCACTGGGGCGGAAGAAGCCCTGTTTCCACTGATTTCGCTGTCCCGACATGCAATGAATGACCATGGTACGATGCTTTGAGGTGGCTGCAGTAAAACAGACAACCCGATGACATCTATCCAACGCCCGATTACACTTCATGGAAACGGGGATGTCTGTAGCCAGCTGCCAGCCGGAGAGCATATACTCTTTACACTAGGCTGGCTGTCTGCGATCCGCATGCGGCTCTTTGTATACACACTAGTTCGGCTCTCATGTTAACGAATATGACCCATACGGCCCTCATGATGACAAATGTGACCCCGAGAGGTACTCAGTTTAACATGACTGTGTTACACCATATTGTGTTAAAAGCCGAATCTAGAACAACGACTGGTGATCCACCATCGTCGTGCCCCAATTCAACAACGCTGGTAATTCGAGGCACTCCGAAGATAGTTCTTCACGGTTTCTCGAGATATTTCACCCAGCATTCAAGACCGACGGATATGAAAAGGAATTCGTCCATTTCTCTCAAACATCGTCCTACTCACTAAAAACCATCCTTGTGTCTGTGCCTCCAATAAATTGGCACAATAGGCAGCACAATAGGCTTGATAACAATGACCTCCATACATATGCCGTGTCAATGTGACGTGCGTGCGCTGGAGTTGGTTACTCAATAGCAGCTGATTCCGTAATTCAGTCGAGTATACAGAAGCGTCAAATATCCACCTATTCTTCGTACATCTGAAGCCAGAAAGACAGATTGCGTTTGAGACCTCTTCAACAGCACGCAACACAGGCAATTCCAACTACGCTCACTATGGTGCGGTTGCACTAATTCTATCTTCCTGTGTTACAAACACAAAAATCAAAGGTACGGCTACGCGAGAGCATTTTATTACTCTTCATCTTTTGGATCTATTATCCACGGATCACCATCAAACCGCGCTTTAGTGATATCGAAGTCATCCGTGCTTGAAGCTACGCGCACAATTTCATCGTCTTCAAGACCCACAAGAACTCTTGTGGCCTTATCCGGAAGACTACTCAGAGCGCCATCCACAAATTTCACCAGCATTCCTTCTAGTCGCTGCACAAAGCGAGAGTTACCAATCTGGTCCTCCCTCACGACATCCACTATCGTCACTGGACTGGACACTCCAAGTCACTTTGTTCTGACTCCACTTTACTCTGGTTCGCTGTGACCGCCCGCTGCACAATCACCTATCGGCCGCATCAGTTACACGCGCGTCGCCCCGTCAATTCCGGGAACATGCGATCGGCCCGGACACGACGTGAACACGTCTGACTCCTCCGGAGCGACAGACGCAAAAATCTGACCTTGAACCGGTACCGAGTGCTGTGCAACGAATAGAGTGGCGCGAATTCATAAGCGGTGCGTGTTTGGCGTTGTCCTCTGGCAACCCCTGTAGTAGTGTGCACTTATCTAGTTGTTCTATTCCGCCTTGTTCATTGAGGAGTCTTTACACGATATCGCCACCCACTGCAGTCAATCGAAGTTCGCTCCCCAATTACTGGCCATGGTCATATATTCCCACAAGAATAATTCATCCTAAACAGGCGGAAAGGTGAATAAGCGAGAGACCTAGACATTAGTGCCAACATTCTCATCTTTCATCGAATCCATCTTTGGAACTGGTGTAAGTCACAATGACTGCAAAAGTCTCAGCTCCTACAACGAGATCAGCTACGAGACAAAAAACACAAACCAATTATAATGCGTCACCTATTGCCGTGAAAATACCACAGACGAGGCATGTTCAGACGGTAGAGCCAGCAATCGAGACATCTAGTAAAACTTGCGTCATGGGAAGAGATATGATGTTCTACCAAATAGTGGGCCAATCATTATTCATGAACAGTCGACACGATGGTAAGGGAGGCGGGTGTGCTATTTATGCTCTGGACACCGTATGTACTCAATTAAGAGTAGACTTGCGATTGCGGCACAGTAGCTGAGGTGTTTCTCACCCCCACCTAACGTGTACTGATGATGATGATGAGCCTTGCGACACAGCATCATAAACGAATCCGTATGGATAACCGTAGAAATGAATCGCTCTCTGCATCTGGTGGAATGGATTTACTATCGAATTTGTTATGCCTTATTTTTAGAACACCTCACTTCAGCTTTTAATTATGCTACGGAGCTGGATCAATAAGATGCATGAGGTGATACACCGGGCCGCTAGGAGGATTATGCAACTTTGTGCAAGACATCCCGAGCATCGTGAATGAAAAGACCAAAGCGAAGGGGCTTGTAGACACAGAGGCAAATGCGTTTGCCATCCGAAAACGACCATGGATGGGACAACAGCCGTTTCGGACTGAGGCAGCAAATGCGGTGGACATTGAACACAAAGGGATCCGCGAAGTAAGCGTGATATCAAATACTGAGACTGTAGTAAAGAGCAAGTAGAAAAGTTTTCTGTACAACCATCGAATTATGAAAAACCAAAACCTTTACTTGCGGATTGTCAAATGTAGTGTTAATCGTTTATCCTTGTTCGGTTAGGAATTCGTATTGGTGTCATTATTTCCGGGTATACTGTAGGCAGAAGAATTACCATGAAAACTGCAGCCTATATGTCAAGATCATAGTCCGATGACCACATCATCTGCGCCTTCTGCCGAGATCACGGATAACCCATTATTTGTCTACCCCATAAGGTTAACTATGCAAAGCTCCATGTTTTCCTTGCAACTCACACCATGGTATCGAGACTTGTTCCCGATAACCTTATATGATACCTGCTCCCAAGGGCTATTGTGAGATTCATTGTTTTCTTAACCATGTCTATGTGGTTTCATTCCAACCCCGCTGCAAGATACGATCGCGCCTATACTGTGTAACATGCTCAGGCGCCCCGCCACTCGGCAAGGATTTGTTACCATCCCATACCCGCCGTGACCATTGTACAATCCCACCCAGTGCTACTAACCCCAAGGGCACCCAGGCTCTTGTTGGTCTTTGGTCCCATATCCGCACGGAGACGCGTTAACCTAATTCCTTTGGATGCAATGACACCCTGTACCTTCCTGTGCGCCGTGCCGCGGATAAGGTTTCGGACACCTTAAAAGGAACCCTCGAATTCCTCTTTTTGAATCTGTGCTGTGTGGCCTTGCTTTACGGTAGCAAGTGCGCTGACGCTATTTCATTGTGTAACCGTAAGAAGACCTGGTTGTTTCAGGACTGAACGGGCACTGTTGAGGTATGTAAATATGTACTTGAGTTCTATTTTGTTTAATAGTACCGTGGTTAACGTCTCGGCTTCCTTTCTTGGCTGGACCCGGGAGTTTGTAAGAGGCAATCGAGCCGCAAACGAATCTGTCACTTACATATACGACGTATTTATTCATTGTAAATGCACCGTTTCATAAAAGCACAGGTTTCCAAAATAATCGTCGATACGTGTTTTAAAACACTTCACATAATCGGCCTCTATTAATCCTTCCATTCATACATTCCACAAGTTTACGATTCTTCGTTCGATAAAAAGCGGATGTGATACTTTGTTCATGCAGGGGACCCTGAGTTTGGAACGGTGCCCTCGGGTGGTACAAGATTCCCGCAGGTGGAATATTGGCCGAAGTATGGGGAAGTGATTCGAGTGTCGTATTCGACGGATTATAATAAGGTCAATTCGTACTCGGCGGTAGGATAGTGTGTAGAGTCCGAGCCTTTCACAACGTTTTTCGTACGGAAGCTTTCGCAGACTCGGTATCATTCTAGTTGCGATATGCTGTATTTTCTCGACCTTTTTAGTTTCCCACTGGGTTATCGGATGGTAAGCTGGGGCACCGTATTCAAGGATTGGTCTAAGGAGCAAGGTGAATAGGCGAGAGACGTTTTCTTCGGTCCAGGTGGAGAACCTGCGTCGTAATGTCCAAAGCATACGAAGTTCCGCACGTTACAATTTCTCTGTATTTGCTAGTGATCTCATATCATGTCGCGAGAGCACTCCTAAGTCTCTGACAGATGTGTTAGGGTGGAGAAACTGACCGTGCAAGGTATATGATCGAGTAGCTGCATGTCTGGTGATACTGATGAACTCCGACTTGCTTGCATTATGATGGAGTTGCATTTCAGTGGACAAGGTTGACAGTCGATCTAAATCATGCTGGAGGTAAGCGCAATCGTTCTGGTTCTCAACGATCCCCAGGTTTTCAAATCATCTGCAAACAGGGCACATGGTGACTGGAGCTGTTGCGGGAGATCGTTGATATGAATACGAAATAACACTGGCCCAAGTACATTTCCCTGAGGCACACCACCGGTCAATAAGAACCAGTCTGTCAGGTAGTCATTGGCATCTACTCTAAACTTTCGTCCCACAATAAAGTCGTGTAACCGGTGAAGTAACGTGCCACCGAGTCCGTAGGTCCACAGTTTCCGAAGGAGTACCACGTGGTTCACTCTGTCAAAAACCTTACTCAAATCGACATACACCATATCAACATCCATCCGTTTGTTGAGAGCGCTTACCCACTTGTGGTTTGCGTACATCTACTTGGTGATGCAGGAGCACCCTTTCGCGACGCTCCGTTGCGTTGGCGTCAATACGTCCATCGATTCGAAGAAGGACAGTAGACACTTTTGCACAACCTCCTCGAGAAGTTTGGATAAGATCGAAGTCAAGCAGATCGGTCTACAGTTCTCTACTGTACTCGGGCCACCACTCTTGGGAAGCGGTCTCACCATCGAGCATTTCCAGTCCCTGGGGACAGATCCTTTAGGGAGTGATTTATTGAATAAGTTTGTCACGGCTGGTGAGATGTTAATTGATAGGGACTTGAGCATTAGTGGGTGAAGTCCGTCTGGTCCGGGAGGCTTTGCACCAGCGGACTTGACGAGTAGCTGATCCACTCCAACTGCATTACAATGTAGGCTGTCGAGCAAGACTGGCACAACCTATGCCGGTACTGGGACAGCCGCCAGTTTATTGGAAAATACAGTGGGGTGCGAAGCCAAGGCCACCGCGTGTTTCGCGCTTGAAATGAGCGTCGGTCCGTTCAAGCTCTCTAAAACCGGTAGGTCGCCCGCAGGTTTCGGTTGACGTCTCAAGTAGGCAAATGCTCACCTGGGGGCGGCTGTCGCCGAGGGTGCTAGTTCCTTTTTGTGGCGCTAAAGATGTTACGCTGTTTCTTGTACACCGCATAATCTTCATCACCTTGGTAGGTGGTAAATGCCTTGAACAATGATGATTGGAAAGAAGCTTTGAATGTAAAATATTAAAGTGCACACTATTCGCATAAAGTTTCCTTCGAGTACCAACTAAACAGAGCAGTAGTCAAAAGCTAATATTAGGAAGAGCAGCGCAAAAAGAATATGCCATAAAACCTGGTTGGACAACTTGAGTCAAATAAAGCAGAGAGTGCATAAGAAAACGCAATAGAATAAACTGTAAATGTGATGCGCAAACCCTGGGGATTTTAAACGAACCGTTTTCTAGATCCCCCAAACATTAGACAGGCGATAGCCTTTTTGATGTCCAGGCTGCCGTAAATAGAGGGTGCTATACTGCGCGCCAATCGTTCATATATGTTTGGTGAGTTGGCCAACGCGATCAGTTCTTCCTCTTCAGTTTCTGTAAGGGTTGCAGCAGACCTGCTTGTAGTACCGCCAAGAGAACCAGACACGAGAGCACTACGTCCAGGGCCTTCAGTATCGATCGAGAGACCAATAACGCGAATGTAGGGCTGACGGACAGCGAGGTCAGCACGCTCTCCGACCCCAGATCGTGGCTGCAAGTAAAGGGGGTAGGTTGAGGGGGTACTATAAAACCAATTGTGCATATTTAATGAATAAGATGTACATGTTGGAAGCGCTTGTGGTCGCAGTGAATGAAGCGGAAGCTTGACACTAAGAGTGAGGACTGGCAGACGAAAGTTCAGCTGATAGATGGAGCAGTTTGCTGCTAGAGTTGCCGCAATGGTAAGAGAACAGATCGTAAATTTTTGCAATGGCGACTACGGAATGAAAAAAGTAGCATATAGATAGCTGCATAAGAGTTGCGCAAACAGCATGTGGACATCTGACTCACTTTATTCGGAGCGGATGTACGAATGCAGTAGATTCCCACAACGGTAACGCGGTTGCCAGGCACAATCTGTTCACACAGATACCTTTAGTATTGGGCGAACAGAAGACAAAATATGAATAATGGGATTAACAGTGACAAGAGCTGAAATAGTACACAGATTCGCATAAACGCTGCCAGGGAACTATGTCGTTGTGAATCACTAGAGCAACACAATCCTCCAAATAGACGAAGACGGAGACAACGAGACCTTCGCGCTATGAGACCGCTTGTGTGCCTTTCCGACTACTTGGTGGTAACGTTCGGCACCTTAAGAGTAATTCCAATCAGAATGAGCAACAGTCAGAAGTCAGACAAAGTCAGGCTCTTGGCCCCACAGGTTGAGGGTTGGAATTGAAACGGCACCCATTCCTCTAGAGTCGGTCTATCCAACTGGCTATTAACGCATACAGATAAATGTGCGGGAGCTATTGTTTGCAATCGGAAGCCTTCTAGCAAAACATGACAGCGAAAATCCACCAACAAATGGCAAATAAGCGGAGGCATAGTTTGCACTGCGTGATGGTAAAGTACCTGAAAGTGGACTACAACAGCTTCCTAGACTTTTAGCAGAAACGTTAACAGTGTCGCACGATTTAATTCTTAGTCACCATTCCTTGCGAAATACAAGGTATGAACATAATCAACGCAGGTACGCCAAGAACGAGGGGCGGTGAATAGTGGAATCACGCAACCTTCAACTCTTCACGACGTGATCCATTTAAGTTCATTGCTGGTCAAATACCAATGCAGTACAGCTTAGGAAAGGCTAACGATCGGCATACGCTTTCCATCGTTCGTGTGCTCGTGATGAAGCCCGATTTTGGTATCCAACCGAACTTTTGATGATATTAAAAGACCTAATTTTGCATTTAGATTCATAGCAAACATGATGACGTCTGAGCTTGTTAAGTTCGTGGAAGGCACCATCCGCAGCATCAGGAGTATTGCCCATTGGGGTACGCGCAGTGAACACGGACGAACTGCATTGATCGGCGTACTAGCCCTAATCGATGTTCTTAAACAGGTTGCACATAACGACCGTTCGCGGAAATCTAATCAACCAGCGTCAACTCGGTTCTAGAGCTGACGACGATGCCAGTTCCAGTTTGAGTGATTGCCGCATCAGCATCTCCGGGGTGTACAACCAATAATGAAGTGTGGCTGGTTCAACACTTAATTTCTCCCCTATCCCCATAGTTTGTCTAGCTGATATGCGAATCACCGAAGGCCAGCTCAACCTCGGTGTCATCCACAGTATAATTGAGATTCCCGTATCATTTCTACAGTCCACTTGCTCAACAGATTGATAGCGTGTCCTTCCCAACTAAATCGACTTATAGTCAACTCTGGGCTTCTTAATTAGCCGGTCGAAATTTGATTCAACATATCACTAGGGTAACCGACTGTCACGGTACCTCGCCTGTGCCAGATCAGGTAATCCCTCACCAGATAATCCCTAAACCAAGTTCCATGTAAAAACGAATATACGTAACACAATAACAGACTGAGATTACATAGTGCGCAGTTATGTATCAGTCATTTCATGAGTCCTCTGCACTCCCTTCAATGAGTATGGTGCTTCCATGTTCGTCTGCCCTTCTTCGCCATTCCCTCTCCCGAGAGCTATTATGAAGGGGTGATAGAACTTGCCTGGATAGTCCTGTCACCGGAACGGTTTACACAGGGATCGCTCACATGAAATGATGGAGAGCTAACCTGTTGAGATTGCAACACCACCGTCTTGAACCGTGTTCCTCTCTGATACGAACAACGAGATCATACCTTGCTTATCTTCGGGAAACAATACTACAGATATAGAATCTACATGGCGTGCGCCCTATGCCCACCTCGCCAGTGAAGAATAACTTCAGGCGCATTGGTTACAATGTGCCTTCCATAGATACCTCATTCCCGCAAATGTGTTCGCTTGATGTGCAGTCTCTATTCAGCAACGTTCCGCTGGAGGAAACCGTGGATCATCTATGTGAATTTATCTCGCAAAACAATATCAAACTACGGCTTCCTACGGAAATGTTGAAGCATATGCTTCTTTTGTGTACGAAGAACGTCAAATTTTACTTTCAAGGGAGAGCGTATAGGCAAATAGACGGTGTGGCTATGGGTAGCCCGTTGGGTCCTTTGCTAGCAGATGTATTCATGAGCATGAATGAAAGAAAGTGCGATATAGTAAGATTGACGACATTATACAAATGATGTGTGCATGACATACTTCTAGTCATGGATTCAGATGATGACATTGTGCAGACGACATCTACACTCAATCGTTTGTGTACCCAAACCTCACTGTAACCTGGGAGGCTGAGCACGAGCACCGCTTCCCATACATCGACGTTTTGCTCATACGAAGGCCGGATGGTTGCATCAAGCGGTCAGCATACCGGAAAACAACCTGGATGGGCCAAGAGCTACAGTTTAAAAGCTTCTCACCAATACAACATAAACGTTCTATGGTTCGGACATTGTTTTATCAAGCCAAACTAATGTGTACGCCGGGCACACTTAAAGCAGAAAGATTTTCTGTTCGACACGTTGCAATCCAATGGTTACGCTTTACATTTCATAAAGCGCGTTTGTGACACGACGAAGCAAGAACCAATGACGACTGTCCAGAAGGAGCCGGTTTTCATTAAGCTGCCGTTCAAAGGTGACCACAGCATGAAAGTCACCACGAAACGGATAAGTGTCTATTGGAAACAGGTGTATTATGCGGCAGAGTTGCGTTTGCTCACATCGACAAGTTCACTGCTTATGTGCTCATTGAAGACACCGACGAGGAAGCAGTGTATGTCCCACTGCTTATACAAATTTACCTGTAGCTGTGAGGACAGCTGCATTGGGTGCACTGACCGAAGTGTAGGTGTCAGGATCGACGAGCATATCCCTAAATTGTTGCGCAAGCGAATGGGATCTCAGAAGGTGGGACCGAGTGAATTCAGAAGCACGATAGCTTCGGAAATCACGAGGTATCTACTGAACACTGGCCACTAGGTCAACCCAAGTGACTCATTCACTGTCCTCATGCGCAACAAAAGGCCGCATATACTCAGGCTAATTGTAGCCATCGTAATCAATCGCGAGCGGCCGCCTCTGTGCGTACAGAAACAGTTGACAGTAACATTGAGCCTGCCTTGGTAGTGCCGCATTAATAGTTGGCCATCAGCTGACCACCGATCAACCGCATCCGACCTTGCTTGTTTTCAAATTGCTAGTTGCCTTGTACGTGACTGAGGAGATAGGTACGAAATGACTGGGTCACCTCACAACTTACGTCTTCTGATATTTCTGTTTGGACTGGAATTCCTTGTAGAAAACAATAAATTCTTTAGAATTACCTGGCGTTACAGTAGCGTTCATGAAATACCCACCTCGCCAGTGGATTATATCCTCAAACGCATTTACTAAAATCCCAGCTTGTACCATCGGTCACTTAAGTGGCCGACAGAAGAACAGTTTAGGTCACTCAGAAAATGGGTTTTGATTTTACTAGCAAACAATAGGTGGGCATTTCGGAAATTTTTTCAGTTGAATAAATGAACCAACATTTGGTTTAAATGAATTAAGGCGACAGCCATTTTACTGTTTTATGGTACTCCGGGATCTTTGGATTCTATCGAGATTGCATCTTGTTATCCACGGACCGGAAATGCGTGAAGCTCGTAATCGATTGCTCGAGAGCAAATGTTTATCATCTCGTTCGCAGGACTGAGAAGTAGGTACAATGAGAACTCCGAAGTTCTGTCGGTTCCAGGGAAGTTAAGTGCTGAGAATGAATCTTCTAACAACACCGCCTGAATCACTGATAGATGCCATACAAGATTCTCCGAGGTGTATATTGGAGAATGATGGTCGTCTCCTGGAGTGGCTTATTGGTGTAATAAAAACTCGTTTATAGTGTTATCTTCCGGAAAGTTGCTGGATCCGCAGCTGATCTTCCTAAGCTCCGCATGTTGGACCACCTTCTATGGTGCGAAATGTTCGTTACTAAGCTCCTTTCACGCGGTTTCATGGAGTCACAGACAAAGATTGACCGCATTTGAAAACGGCTTTGTCGGTACACCAAATCATGGACCTCGCCCAATACACGTGGTTCTTTTAATTCCAGAGGGACGCAAGGCAGTGCTAAATTTTACTTTATAGCTCAGTAGTGTCCAGCCTGATATTCCACTGGCAGACAGGCAACTGAGGGAATCCATCAAGGAGCTCAAAACCAGGCGTGCGGCTGGTGAATAGGGCCTTCGGCTTGTTACTTTTCAGATTATTCGCTGGTAGCCGATTTTCGCACTACCAGGACCAATTCTAGTAGCACACGGCTTGTAAAGTCGAGTTGCGGTGACATCTACGCAGGTAGAACTGATCGTCAACTGTCTCAAAAGGTAGGTGAACACTTCGCAATGTGGCCAAGACAATCGTTGGGGCAACAAGGTTTAATGGAAGATCAGGTGATGAACGCGAACCCCACTTCATCTATCGCCAAGCATCTTATGACTCATTACCCGGTAGACCCGGTCAGCTCCTGCAAGGTGCTATTGTGCAACGGGAATTCGAAACGGTTGTCAATCAGTGAGGCACTATTGGTGAGGGTGAATCGTCCAGTGCTGTGTGTCCAGAAACAACTGAGGCAAGCAATCAGATTGTCATAGACATAATTGCGTTATACACGCTAATTTGTTTTGCTCATCTGTGTTTCTAGGCCACCACCCCATGTGTCTTGCTTGTACTGCCTTGCGACTGACGAGAGCAATCCAAGATTTGACATTTCGCAATCTGTCTTCTTACTTACAAGGAGACAGGAAATTTCTGAAAAACAAGGGTATTGCAGGTAACTGTGATACAAATTGTGGATAATTCAACGAGAACAGTGGTAGCAACAGATGTTATAAGAGGAGGAGCAGTTTATCATATGTGCTCGAATACGAAACAGTTAAAACTTGCCAAATAAATTAGTTACAGTGGTGCGAAATGAGCGGGGATCAAAGGTCAGCCAAGACTGAAATCAAGGAGACAATGCATATGCGTAGGTAG